CTGGAGGAGTCTGATATTGACAAGGATGGGACCATTAACCTCTCTGAGTTCCAGCATGTCATTTCTCGTTCACCGGACTTTGCCAGGTACCCGTGTCTCCGCTGCCTGCTGCAGTGTCTGACTGGAGAAAATCCAGCACTTGCTAGGCAGAGAAAGCTAGCCAGTGGGTAGAAGGGGGGGTTGCTTAACTCTCTGTGCGGAGTGGGCACAGATCTCTCAGCTGGTAGCAGGGCTAAAAGCGCAGACATGGACTTTTTACAGCAGCTCCTCGCTAGAACAGTGAAGAAACCTTTGCTCATCTCTAGCCCCGTCCACTGAGGCCTCGCAATGCACGGGGGACGCTTCCTAAAGTACCAAAGTCCTGGTTCAATGGGGCTGTGGCTCCTGACCCCTTCCTAGCAAGCTGTATCGTGGCAGCGCCCAGATGCGCCACTCATTTGTCTGGTCTCCAGCCCCTTCTACCGGGTGCTGTATGTAAGTGGAGAGCCAGTACCTGCCCTGAAGAGCTTGCAGACAGAACGCAGCTGGTGGAGCGGGAGGAAGGGCTCTTATCTCCATGCTGCTGGTGCGGCAGGGAGTGACTCGCCAGAGTCACACAGGGAGGCTGTAGCAGAGCTGGGAGTAGAATCCATGGCTCCAGATCCCAGGCCAGTCTCGTTACCACCGGCCTGTCCTTCCTGTTTCACAACCAGAATGAGCGCCGCCCGGCCACGGCAGGGCCTTCTCCTTTCATGGGGGGACGGAGGCACAGGATTTGCTTGTCCACAGTCACACCATGCCAGCAGGAGAACCCAGCTCTCCCAGCTTCTAGTCCTGAGCCTCACGCACCAGACTGCCCTCCTGCCCCCATTCTAGGGCTCATGCACCCCCTTCCTTGGCCACTTGACTCCTCTAGCTTGTTTCTTTGCTAGCTTGATGGGGGCTGTCTGACCATGCTCAGGGTATCCAGGGTGCACCCCCCTCAAGCCATTGGCAGGAGATGTCCAGAATCCTCTTTTAAATACCAGCTGCATTCTGCTTGGGTCTGCCATGTCCCCTTTGAGCTCCATGGTGCATACAGCCCTTCCCCTGCCACCGGGAGACGGTGCCCTCAGCGAGTAGCTCCCCTGTGGCTTAGCATGTGAGAATGGGCTGGTCACTGTCTCTTTCAGTTCCTTCAAGATCGTGCTGTGATGGCGCCATGTCCCTTCCAACGGAGGTGTCCTGTGGCTGGCTGTGCCCATGGTCTGTCCCTTCCTAGCCTGCTGCGTGGCTCTGCACCATCTCTGCACAGTGTCTGGATCCTTCCCCCTCTGGCAAACAGATGCAATAATATTGGTGACTCCAGTACTGTGCTAGGAGTCCGGTGTCTTGGAGCACTCCTTCCATAGTGCCTTATGCAGGGCTCCACGGGACAAGGCCTCTCTTGCCCAGTGTGCTGTGCCTTCTGTGCTCTTCTTGGTCTGCAGGGATAGGGTCACAGGGTCCTTAATGCAGCTGCCTTGTGCTTCAAACAAACTCCTGGCCCATGGAGGCTACAGGTCCCAGCCTGTCAAGCCATACCTGGATCAGAGCAGAGGCTGCTGGGATCAACATGGCACAAAGCATGCTGGGATTTTTGGTCTCCATGGACTATATTTTCATGGGCTTACTCCTATGCAAACCAGGTGCAGTCCTCTGGGCCTACCCTGGACATCCTGAGCTGGAGAGGGGAACTCCTGCTAGGGGCCTGTGATAATCCAGGGCTCACCCTCCTGAGCCTCTCTTTGTGCCTTCCACTAGCAAACTGGCAGCTAGGACTCCAGCAAGGAGTCCTTGTGGATGCAGCGGGTCTGGCTGGCTCCCTGAGGCTGCCTCACATGGGCCAGGGGTCTGGCAAAGGAATGTAGCACAAGGGGCTTGTTTTACTATGCAATAATGTAACTGGCACCTTAAAACGCTGCAGTGCCGCAGCTTTGCCCACTTCCCAGCTCCCTCCTGCGGGACCATGCACAGCTTTCTGCTCAGCCAGAGTCGGGGGGGGGGGGGGCCTGGCAGGGCCTGGCACGGGCCACAGCAGTCACAGGGCTGACAGGGCCACAGCTGAGAACTGACTTGTAAAGCTTCCACCTGTGCCACTCCCAGTCTGCCCTGCCCTGGGAGTCAGTGTGTCTGCCAGTGCCTACCTCCCTTCCTGAAGCAGCAGCTGATTCCTGTTGTCAGGCACCCTGGCCCTGGGTCCTTGCCCGGCTACTCAGGTGACGCAGGCCTGGGGAAGGCCATGGCTGTCAGGCAGGACGCTCCACTCTGCGGTCCCACCCTGCCGGCTGCTACCTGATGCGGTGTTAGTGCCTAGCGGGGGAGCAGACTCAGGGTGTCTGTCTGTCTCTCTACCCTGTCTTACACGTGGTAAAGCAGCTGGCTTCCCCGTGCCGCTCTGCTGGGCGCTCCCCCACCATGGGGGAGAGAGCCTGCAGTACTCTGCACTGGGCAGGGAGCTGCTCAGCCACGTAGGGAGAATGAATAAAGAGCTGGAGTCTTACCCTTGGGCCTGTCTCCTGTGTGTGTGTGGGGGGGGAGAGACGGGTGGGGTCGGTTTCCCCACCCCCAGGACGAGGAGCCCCTGAGCCATGCTCTGGGCAGCCTGCAGCAAGCTGCCATCACCTGGACTACTGGAGGCTGCAGGCTGCCTCCTGGGCTGGATGTGGCCGGCCAGATGGGACAGAGGCTATAGTCTCTTCTGCCCCATCACTGGCACTCCTTGCTCCTTAGGGTTAATGGGCCCTGAATCCTCTCCCTCCCCGTCCATTCACTGTTCTTATTACAGGATTCAGAGGAGCAGCTGTTAGTCTGTATCCGCAAAAAGAAAAGGAGTCCTTGTGGCACCTTAGAGACTTTAACAAATTTATTTGAGCATAAGCTTTCATGAGCTAGAGCTCACTTCATCGGATGCTGTAGCTCACGAAAGCTTGTGCTCAAATAAATGTTAGTCTCTAAGGTGCCACAAGTCCTCTTGTTCCTATTACGTCTCCCTCCCACTCTAGTGAAGAGGAATGCAGCATGGGCATATCCTGGGGCTGCAGGGCCCATCCCTTGATGAGACTGGGGGCCTGCCTATTCCTAGCAGAGCGATGGACTCCTGCCCCCAATGCTCTGGGTGGGGGAAGCTGTGCTCGGCTTGGGGGTTTCCTGGCAGCGCTAAAGGAGTTTGTTTCCAGTCTGAGTCTAGGGACCGAGCTGCCTGGAGCAGCGAGAGCCTCGTGCCTGTCATGGGGTGGGGGGAATTATGCAGTGGACACCTCACCTGTCAGTACTGCCAAACTCCAGGGAGGCCTCTCCCAGAGCCAGCAGCTCTCACGCTTGGGTCTGCAGAAAGGCGAGTATTAGAGATGGGCTTTCCCCAAGGGCCTAATGGCACCATAACCTGCCTCACTAACCCCAGGGGCATGGTATTGCACACGGTCTGGCCTGGGGCTAGACTTCTGCCCTGTGTGTGGCCTGTGCAAACATGCCCAGGGATGGGACACATAACTAACAGACTGGTCCACTTAAAACTGTCCAGTAACACTGCAGCAAGAACCATGCACTCCCAGGGCTGAGAGGGGTTTTTAGAAGGGTCAATGACCGTGTGGTAGCACCTGGCAGTGGGTCTCGCACCTGGCTGAGGCCACTAGATCCTACTGAACTGTAAGGGCTCAACAAGAGGGAGCAAAGAAGGTGGAAATTCAAGTCTCTCTCTCTCTTCCCTGCATAGTGGTGCAGCCGAGCAGCTGGAGAGCTTGCTACGGGTGGGGGTCAAAGGCCCAAATGCTGCTTCCCCACATAGAAAAGCGCCCTGCCACTAAGCTGAGCTCTGGGGCCTGGCATTAGGGGGCAGCGCCCAGGCCAACCAAATGGGGGCATTTGGCTGAAAGAAGGTTTGAAACTGAATGTACAGGCTTTTCGTTACCACGGCCTTATAGGTCAGCCAAGGCTGGCTGGCCTCCTGGGGCCAGGGGCCCGTACGTGAGCCCTACTGTCTCACGAGACCTCATTTAAAATCAGCTCCTGCCCTGATCACCGAGAGCCGCACGCCCCGGGCACAGCCCCCCACACGCTGGCTTGGCACAGGAGCACTTGCAGCTTGGGAGGAGCAGGTTCTCAGCTCCGCCTGGGAGCCCCTGAGCACGGACAACTCCCTGGGAGGGAGGCGGTTCTCTCTGTGGACTAGCTGCTGGGGAGAAGAGACCACCTCTGCCAGTGTGTTTCCCAGCTGTTTGCTGAGAGCCGAGCACTGGTGAGACTCAGGAACACCACCTGCGGTTCCAGGTTCAGGACAAGAGTGTGGTCGAGCGGCTACACACCCTTCTGCCCCATCCCCCTCCACACCCTGGTGGTTCCTGTCGCTCCCAGCCTGCCCCAGTCCTCGCCCCTATGGGTCAAGCCCTTCCGCTCGCTGCCAGGAGCACAGCAGACTATCTCTCTGCTCTCCGGTCTGAAGGCCAGCACCCGAGAGGAGCACCGGCAGAGAAAGTCCCTCCACCCTGGGCTGGGGCCCGCTCAGTCGCGCTGTGGGGCTGGCCTGCAGTAGGAGCCGTGGGGGGCCAGAGTACACTCCCTGCACACCAATTTTCAGAGAATGGAGCTGCCAAGCTCTCATCAGGCTACTGAACACGGCCCTGCTAAGAATGTTCCAGCCTTACACCCTGGCCAAGTTTTCGTGGGAACAGTAAAAGGCAGCTGGCGGCAGCAGGGGGACCCCCCCACACACAATTCCCCTCCACTTCACAGCCTGCAAGCTTCAGTGCTGCTCAATGAAGTGGTTACAAGAAATGTTACCATGGATTGGCCCTGGTCTCTCAAAGGGCTGAATCTTCCCCAAGTGTTCAGGCCGAGGCAGCCCTCCAGCATGGGGCATTTCAGCCTGAGCGGTTATAACCTGGCAGTGTTACAATTCACTGAGCAGGGGTTTCTGCTGGGAAGCGCTGAGCAACTCTGGCTGCAGGTGTCTCTCGCAGGCCCATCTCTGCTCACAGCCCCGTCACGCCCCAGGGACAGCGCACTCACCGAGACCACACGGGGACTTTATATAAAAAAGACAGACAACAACAACTCATTTCTGTGCAAGAACCTCCGCGAACGCCGTGAGCCGGGATGGTGACAGCACTCCCACAACGGCGCCAGGGAGCTGTGGCTTGGACGCTCAGTTCACATTGTCACATTGTAAAAACAACCCAAAGCCCGAACGCACAGAACATGCCCCAGACCCAGCTCCCGGCAGGCGCCAGGTGAATGTCTGCACAGGGCTCAGGACGTCACAGCAGGATGGGGAACGAGGGGGATGAGACACAGACGAACTCTCCTGCCTGGCCACAGAACGGGCTCCACACGCAGGCAGCAGCAGGTCCCTGTCGCTTGCTCACGCGTGTCAGCGTTAGACATGCCCCACGTGGCCAGGTCCGCCCCACTAAGGTGCGCAGGTCCCCACTGCACCTCTCCCAGCACCAGAGCTCCTGGGCCTTCCTGGAACGCCCTGCTCCTGCACCAGGCAACGGCCCCTGGCTGCCAGAGCTGTCCCACGGGTGGCAGGGCTGGGGCAAGGGCTGCCAGGGAGCGTGAGTGCCTCCCAGATACACGGAGGGGCTCTGCCGCCCCGAGAACCCCGCTGGAGAATGTGCTACGTTGTGCTGGGCAGTTTGCAGGTCACTGTTACAGCCGGGGTCGGTGGCTGCAGGGTGAGGTGGGGCTACCCTGATGGCACAGGTCTCTGGGAAGGCTCAGCGCAGCCTGGGCTGGTGCGGCTTACGGGCTCAGCTCATGCCCCCAGCCTGGTCACACCACAGAGTCCCGAATTTCAGAGCCCAGCCGCACCCGGGGTCTCTGGCAGGCTGGAGAGACCTCCACAAAGCTCTCGCGGACGCTGAGAGGCCTCTTCTCGGAGTGGGAGAAGGCCGAGCTGGCGCCTCGGGGGCGCGTGCGGGGGGGTGCTGATGTAGCTGTCGGTCAGGGCCTGGTAGCCCTTGTGGTCGGGTGCCGTGCTGGGCAGGCTGCTGCCGTTGAGGGGCAGGCTCTCGACGGGCAGCCCCACCTTCCGGTGGCCCCCGCCGGGGCACTCGCCCGGCTTGAGGAAGGCCTTCATGCTGTCCCGGTGCCGGCAGAGCACCAAGAGAGCCAGCAGCAGCAGCGCGGCCCCGAACAGCGCGCACATGACCAGGAACTCGGGCCAGTAGCTCCTGCCGTCCTGCCGGGAGGAGACACCGCCCACGGCAGAGGTGCTGCGGGAGGTGCTGATGGTCTCCATGGCGTCCTGGCCAGGCAGGCGCCTGCCCGCGGCGTCCGGGGGCCCGTGCAGCGCCGGCGACAGCTCCTCCACACCCACGCAGTAGCTCGCCATCAGCTTCTGGAAGCCCTCCTCCAGCGACCAGCACTCGTAGGTGCCCAGCCGCTCTAGGCTGCCCACCAGGATGAGGGCTCCATCCGGCAGCACCAGGTAGGAGGAGTTGATCTGGGTCCCATTGTGCACCCACAGCCGCGAGGCCAAGTTGGACAGAAGCCGGCACGGCAGGGGCCTGACCGCGTTGGGCAGGAGCCGGATCTGCTGACACTGCGGTCCCTCTGCTGTGGAGTACGCCACACAGGCGGGTCAGGAACCGCTCCAGCCAGCCGCCCTCCCACTGCCCATGCCAGGCCCGGGCCACCCCTGGGCTGTGGCAATGGCCGAATCTCACATGTGATGGGGGGGCTCTCCTGGCTCCCCGGGGAATGGGGGTGGCCATTGGGGACCCAGCTCTGGGTTGCGGCAGGGTCCACGTGCACGCAAGGGGTGTGTTCTCACTCTGGGAGCGGGGTGGCAGCCATGTGCTTCGAGAGCACCCCCAGCTGGCCAGGCCTGGCACTGACGTCACCCGCCCTTCGCAGGATATGGCAGCTAGAATGGACAAATGGGGTCCCAGAGCCCCCCGCCCCACAGCAGGCTTGCATACCCCACCCCAGCGGGTCCTGCCCCAAGGCCTCCTTACCTGGGGATCGGAGAAGGGGGGGGGATGGGCAGGGACACGTTGGCTGCTTGGCAGAGCCTCTCTGTGTCAGCGTCTTCAATATCCTGGGCCCAGGGTCTGCAGGGAGAGACTCGCAGTCAGCATGGCCTGTGCAGGGAGGGGGCGAGGAGCAGGGCAGAGGAGGCAGGGCCAAGCTGCGCGGGAGGGCAGAGCTGAGAGGGGCGAAGGTGCGGGCGGCTGGGCTGAGAGTGGCTGGGCTGAAGGGTGACCGAGCGGGGCTAGGGGCTGGGGCGGGACAGCCGAGCGGGGCTAGGGGCTGGGGCGGGGCTGGCCGAGCCCAGGAGTCCGGCACTTACCGGGGGTGCAGCGACAGCTGCAGGTGGTACTGGGCGACGCTGCGGCACGCGTCCCCGCTCCAGGCGCAGTAGGGGTCCCGGGACAGGACGCATTCCCCACAGCTCCTGTACAGGCTGCAGTTGGAGACGGGCACCTGGGCCACGGCGGAGTAAGAGGCAGCATAAAGCAGGCCCTGTGCAGGAGAGAGCAGAGTGAGCCAGCTCCACGCCGAGGGCGTGTGCCTGAGCGTGCACCTGCGTGTGTCACCGAGGAGGCGTCACCGGATGGGATCTATGTGGCAGGTGTCATTCACAAAACCCACGTTTACCCATCGTCTGTGTCTGAGATCCCCGCCCCGTCGGCAGGCAGGAAAAGGCTAAGTGGGCTCTGCTGACTGGCGTTACCCCTGCAGGGTATGGGGTGGAGCACCGCTCTGGGGAGAGAGGCTCTAGGGTACATGCTGAGCAGGCCAGAGGAGTCCTGGAGCAGCCCAGCGGGGCCAGAAGGGCTGAGCCGAGCCACGCTCTGGTTGTGAGTTTCTGTTGCTAAAGCCAAAGCGGGGGGACAGAGTTTGCCTGAGTTCCTGATGCTGGGCAGTACCTGCAGAGCAGACCCTGTCACCTGGCTCCCCCCAGGGGACGGGGGCATTGGTTTTCCCTGACAAGCCTGTTTCAGTGCAGGAAACCCTACCAAGGGAGGGAGGAAGCCAGAGCCAGCCATGGTGGGAGCCATTCGGCAATGAGGAGAAGTGAGCTCAGGCTTGGCCCTGGCTCCTCAGTTTGCCCCAAAGGCTGACCGAGAGCACTTGGCCCCTCTGGGTGTGCCCAGCCTAAGGGCAGCAGGAACAGGGAGGATGGCTGGGCACAGCGCCATGCAGAAGGCAGCTCCAAGGCTGTGTATGGGAGCGGCTCCTGCTCCCCCATCCCGCTCGCCCTGAGGCACATGCCTCCAGCCCCCTGCCGTTGCCTGCTGAGGGAGGGCAGGGTGAGGATGCAGGAGTTTCCCATCATGCTCGCTGCCTTGCCTGGCTCTGGTCCAGCAGCAGCTTGTGGACGGGGTGGCCGGCGTGGAAAAGGCGGATCTCCTCGATGATGTGCACTTTCTGGTTCACGCTCACGGCCTTGTGCAGTCGCCCGTCGTCTGCAACGCACAAAGCGGGGGGCACTGAGTCGAGCCAGCCAGGCTGGGAACACCCTGCCTGGCTGGCCCCCACCAGCTCCCCAGGGAGACCCACCTGTGCCCAGGAAGAGGACGTCGTAGGTGTGGTGCAGGCCCCGCACGCGCTGCACGCAGATCTGCTGGTAGTGCACACGGCCCTGCAGCAGGAGCGGCTGGCTCCGGATGGCGCCGTCCATCAGGAAATGGTCCTTGATGAAATTCAGCACGCGGTCCGGCATCTGGAGAGACGAGTTGATTTTCATGTGCCGCGTGCGGCTGGTGATGCACTGGCGGGGCGGAGAGGAAGAGAGCTAGACACACGGACAGCACAGCCCTGCAGCACCGGGACAGACCCACGGCCTGCAGTCCCAGGGCACAGCCAGCTGGCTGGCGGCATTCGTGAGGGCCGGCGCACACACAGGGGCTGAGTGCTGGCACCTTTCACACCAGCCTCTCCTGGCCCCCCGGAGCTGCAGCAGCCCCTGCTAACAACCTGGGAAGGAGCTCAAGGAAGACGCCCAGGGGCTGGGAGGCGCTGGAAGGCGGCAGTATGGATTGGCTCAGGCTGTGCTGGTGTGACCAGGCTGGAGAGTCCAGTGCCCCGAGGAGCAGGCAGGTTTGGGGCAAGTCCTGCCCGGGGTGCTGGGAGAGGGGGACATACCGCTCCGGGCCGGGGCTCTGGCGGATGGCTGGTGTCCGTGTACCATTGCTGCGTCTCACGGTTCACCTCCTTGTAGAGTCCACCGAAGGCCTTCTGCACATCACGCATGGCAAAGGCACATACGGCCGAGCTGCCCGGGCCCCCTTTGTTCCTGGCACCAGAGGGGAAATCAGCAGCTAAAAAGGGTCCTGGAACCGCCCAGAGACACCCGGCCCCTGCATAGCCCCAGCAGACAGCTCAGCCCCTGCCGGGTGGGCTGGGCACAATCCACCTGACACACAGCTCCCCACAGCACTGGACCAGGCAAACAGCTGGGACACGCAACGGGAGGGGAAGAGCTGTCAGCAGCTGCAGCCAGCACCCCCTAGCGGGAAAAGGCCCCGTGCCCCATTCCCCGCCCCTCTGAGCCAGCCAGTCCCCCACCCTGGGCCCATATCAGAGACAGCGTGCCCAGCGGCGAAAGGCCCCATGTTCCATTCCCCGCCCCTCTCAGCCAGCCAGTCCCCCACCCTGGGCCCATATCAGAGACAGCGTGCCCAGCGGGGAAAGACCCCGTGCCCCATTCCCCGCCCCTCTGAGCCAGCCAGTCCCCCACCCTGGGCCCATATCAGAGACAGCGTGCCCAGCGGGGAAAGACCCCGTGCCCCATTCCCCGCCCCTCTGAGCCAGCCAGTCTCCCACCCTGGGCCCATATCAGAGACAGCGTGCCCAGCGGCGAAAGGCCCCATGTTCCATTCCCCACCCCCCTGAGCCAGCCAGTCCCTGCCCTGGGGCCAGATCAGAGACAGCGCCCCCAGCGGGGAAAGGCCCCGTGCCCCATTCCCCGCCCCCCTGAGCCAGCCAGTCCCCAACCCTGGGCCCATATCAGAGACAGCGTGCCCAGCGGGGAAAGACCCCGTGCCCCATTCCCCGCCCCTCTGAGCCAGCCAGTCCCCCACCCTGGGGCCAGATCAGAGACAGCACCCCCAGCGGGGAAAGGCCCCGTGCCCTATTCCCTGCCCCTCTGAGCCAGCCAGTCCCTGCCCTGGGGCCAGATCAGAGACAGCGCCCCAGCGGGGAAAGGCCCCGTGCCCCATTCCCCGCTCCCCTCTGCTAACCCAGAATAACCCCTTTGCTGGGAGTGCCCCAGGGAGATGCCCTGGTCTGGGTCTGAGCGGCTCTAGCTGGAGCCAGCTGCAGGACCCTGTGCCTCGCCCGCGCTCACCACTGGGAGGTGAAGACGCCATAGAAGACCGTGTCCCTCCAGCGCTGCTCATCCGGCGTGAGCACGAACATGTCCTGCAGCACGTTGAAGGGGAACCCGTCGTCGGGCCGCGAGCACAGGAGCTGGGCCTTGAGGAATGTGGTCCACCTCCGCTGCAGCACCCGCTCCCCGCCCAGGTCCCCCTGCCAAGGAGAGAGTGGGCGTCACCCTGCGCTGCCTGGCCCCCCAGTGCTGCAGGGAGGGGCGGTTGCATCGAAGAGCGGAGCCTGGAGAAGCAGGCAAGCTGTGTGGCAGCAGATGGTGCTGCAGGCCCAGTCACACGCACGCTGGGTGGGGCCAGCAGTGACACGCACAGCCTCCCGTTGCACAGGTGTGACTACACGCATCAGTTTGCACGTGACAAACCCCCACCATGCACCCTCCCTGGCATGCGCGCCACGGCCGCCCTTCCCAGCAGGTACGCGCGACCCCCGCCCCCCGAGGACACTATGCGGCTCACCTTGCACACGCGGGCAATCCGCGACACGATGGTGTTCTCGAAGAAGTCAAACTCCTTGCCAGTCTCGCTGAAGAAGAAGTACACCTTGTCATCGTCCCCCTCAGAGTTGCCAGGCGGCAGGCTCTCCCGCAGGTAGGCTGAGCCTACGAAGGCTGGGTCTGCATCCCAAATACAGAGCCCTCAGTGCCAGCCCCCCGGGATCCCAAAGCATCCCGGAGTCTGGGCAATTGGTCGCTGCGGCTGAGACGCAGCCTCCTCTGGGGAGGAGCGTGGCAGCGATGGGAAGGAATGAAACCGAGCTTGCCTTGGGGGGCTCCCAGGCAAGCAGTGACCCAGGCCAGCCCTGCTTCGCCTAGGAGAGAGGACAGGAGGGCAGCCCAAGGTGAGAGGCAAAGTCTGACCGGGACCAGCAGCCTAAGCCCACCCCGCCCCTGCCAGGCCTGGCTGACACCTCCTCGTGCTCCTGGAGCTTGTCTGGGCTGCCTGTTGCTCGCCCCTGACCGGGTGGGCCTGGGATCAGGCCCCGCCCTGCCCCAGCAGCCCCGCACCGTGCAGCCAGTGGAGGGAGTTCTCGGTCTTGAGGGAGATGCGGCTCTCCTGGCTCCGGTAGATGGTCGGCTCCTTGCCCTGGAAGTCACTGACGGTCCCAGCGTAGAGCTCACCATCTGCCGGGGAAAGACAGACCCACGGGCATAAGGAGGGACCAGTTCCTCCCTCCCCACTGCTGGCACTGGGTCCAGAGCAGATCCAGCTGCCATCTCCCCTCATTCGGGGCAGCTGCGCCAGGTGGGTGCTCCTGTGTGGGCCGGCTTTGTGCCAGGTCTATCCCACAGCTGCCGTCCAGCCAAAGGTGCGTATCTATCCGGCCAGGAGGGGACAGAGAGCAGCATCAGCCAGGAGCCTAGGCACCTCCTATGGCCCAGCCTGGCAGCTGTGGGAGTGGGCACCATGCGTCCCTCCGCCAGGGGGCCAGCATCACCCCACTGGCTCCATCTCCACATCAGCTGGCTGTTCCTCACCCACGGGCTGGGCCACGGGGTACACAGCCGTTCCCCCCACCCCTATCCCCACCCCAGGGGAGGTACCAGCCCCTCCTTACCGACCATGATGGCCGTGGATTTGTATTCAGGGTCGAAGGGGCAGCGGCCTTTCCCATCCTCCAGCAGCTCCCTTGCCTGGCTGAAGTTCTGCACGTTCTGCAGAGGAGACGATGCTCTGAGCGGGAAGAGTCAGGCAGGGGCGTGGGGAGGGCAGGAGCCAGGGGAAGGGAGGTGGGGTGTCTCCTGCCCTTTCCTTATGCCCCCAGGGTATGTCACTGGCCAGGTTACTGAGTCTGTCCAAGTCCCTCCGGCTGCCCCATCACACCCCAGGGCCCTCGCCACAGCCCTGCCAGGCTCAGAGCTGGGCCTGGAGTCCCGCCAAGGAGAACTGGGTGCAGGAGGGATGCTGGGGAGGGATCGGCTCTGGGGCCCACATGCTGACCCCTAACTCTGCTCCTGGCCTGAGGCTGGCTCAGCTCTTCCCTCGGGCAGCAGAGCGTCGCCCAGCACGGGGCGGGAGGGGGAATAGGGAGCGCTGTCCCTGGAGAGACAGGGACTTGTGCTGCCTCACAGCCCAGTCACGGGTGCAGGGAGAGCCCCGCAAGCCAGTGCTCCCTGGGGCGGAGTGGGGCAGCGGAGCTGGGGCGGGGCCGGGCAGAGCTTGCACGGAGAGGCCCCGCGGGGCAGGGCGCCCTCCGCAGCACTCACGAGGTAGGTGCACACGGGGCTGAAGGCACCGGTCCCGCAGGCATATAGGTGGGTGCTGTTCAGCTGCAGCAGGATCTTGATGTAGTTGTGACAGTCCCTCTGCAGGGAAGGCGAGAGGCACCTGCTCAGTCTGCCCCGCCCCGGGGCTCGCTCCTCCCCAGACACAGCCCCCACAGGCCCCGCCAGCCCACAGGAGTCAGCCTCCGCAGCCCTGCTGCACCCGGCTTCCAGGCCCCGCAGGGAAGAGCAGCCCCGGCTCCCCGGGAGCCCAGCGGGATCTAGGGATGCGGATGGAGCGGCTAGGGCCGGATGAGCACCGGCCCCCATGGGACAGGCCAGGAGCCCGGGGCCTCAGTTTCACCTCTTCCCCAAGAGACAGCACCGCCAGCAGCACAGCGCCCCCTAGTGCCACCCTGGGGCAACGGGGCCAGCACTGGCTGTCAGGGGAGAGCGCCCCCTACTGCCCCCACCTGCACCACAGAGTCCCTAGCACCACCCTCGGGCAATGGGCAAACACTGCCTGGAGAGCGCCCCCTGCTGTCCCCACCCCCACCCCACAGCACAGCACCCCCTAGCGCTGCCCTGGGACCAACACTGACAGACAGCCCCCGCTGAGCCTCTGCCCCACAGCACTGGACCTGTGGATCCGTAACAGGACCTCTGCCCCACAGCACCCCCTAGGGGCCGGCATCCAGACAGCGCTATGACAAGGGCTGGCTGCAGGCCCCATTCTGGCTTTCATTGCCCCACTGAGCACCTTCAGTTCAAGGCCTCTCCCCAGCAATGGGCCCGTCTCCCCAGTCCTGGGGCTGCTGTCCCATCCCCATGGTCTCTTGGCACAGGCAGGCTGGCAGCGCGCTGTTCCCCAGAGGGCTCAGGCCGGGGAGCTGGGGGGCAGTGCACTGACGGCCTGGGCAGCACTCACCTGGGGGTCCTTGCCCTTGAATGCACACTGCTTCTTCCTCTCCTTGTCCGCGCTCCAGGGCAGCTGTGGGCGAGGGGGATGGTTATCAGGAGACCCCTCCCTGGTAGTGCCCCCCGCTAGCAGCCGGCATGGCCCTTCCCCTGGCCACAGGCCCACAGCTGCCGCGGGGCATCCCACTGCCGGCCACGCTGGAAAACGCTGACTGGCCATGGGAGCAGCTGCCACCCCCGAGGCTCCGAGCCCAGAAGTGACAAGGAAACACCCCGCTCCGCCCAGGCCCGGTGAGCCAGCAGGGCGTGGGGTGCGTGAAAGCCAGCACCCTGCTCCTCCGAGAGGGCCTGGCTTTGTGCTGAATTTATCAGCCCCAGCTTGCTGTCCTGCCGGCTCCCAGAACAGGCAGCCACTTGCAGGGCTCGGGAGAGAAGCTGGGAGCGCCAGGGAAGGAATCTCACGGGGGCCTGCGCCAGGCCCATCCCCAGTGCTTGCCCCTGCCCGCCCTTACGTGGGCCAGCCAGTGGGCTCCTTCCGCCCCAGGGGCTGGTCTAGCTGCCCTCGCTGCTGTCCAGTCACCCCTGCAATGGCGGGCCCCTCTCCCGGCCGCTGCCTTGCGCGTGTGGGCCAGGCCAGGCGACTTACGAGCTGGTGCTGCGGGCCAGGCTGGAAGTGGCTGGTGTTGAGGGCGAAGAGGAACTCGCGCGCCCCCACATACAAGGTTGCCCCGTCCGGGCTCAGCAGCAGGGTTGTGTAGTTGGTGACTCCGTCCTTCTCAAACCACCAAACGGGTCTCTCGGAGGAGCCTGGGGAAAGCCAGCAACACGCCCATCAGTGCCTCCAGGGCTCCATGCTTAGAGCCTGGGGCAGAGAGCCAGACCCACCCCTGGGCATCCCAGCACCCCCAAGGCACAGCCTGATCCCCAGCTGTGGCACTGGGCAGCCCCCAGCTCTCCAGAATCCGCACGCGGGCACTGCCCGCTGCTCCCCCAGCAGGGGTGGCTCCTCCCTCCTGGTACAAATGGCAGGGGTACGTTAGTGCTCACGAAATGTGGACTTACCCTACAAACTCTGCTGCTGCCCATCATTCCCAACCTGCAGCCCCTGCTAGCCCAGCCCTGGGTTCCCCCCAGTTCTTGGAGCCCCTGAGGGCTCACAAGGACCCTGTGGCAATTTCGTGACAAGAAGCTGGCTAGGGCCTTTGACAGAATGGGACTTTTCAGTAATATTCTGTATGAACATTGTGTGTGCCTCAGTTTCCTCTATATGCTGCATCAACTAGCTAGCTGGAACAGGTTGTTCATTCTCTGCAGAGAGCCAGGTGTGACTGATCTAGCTGTCTGCGGTAACGGCCACTCCAATTGCCCGCACATTTGGTACCTAACACCTAATGATCATGGATGGCCCACGCACACACACCTCTCCCCGCTCCGCAAGAAGCCAGCCAGGTTCGCCTGGGAACAAGAACAAGGACCGAGAGGGGCCAGGCAGGGGCCTGCTGGAAGCTGGAGTCTCCTGAACTGGGACTCAGGGCAGCCCAAGAGGGACCAGGCTGTAACTCTGTTCTCTGTGCTACCCCAGGCCTGTCTGTGCTGTGTGCAGCTAAACCCGGCTGCTTCTCCACCGCCCGCTGAGAGCTGCTGCAGATGCGGACGCAGGGGGGCTGGCTCACTGAGGGGGTCTCCCAGGCCTGTTCCAGAGCACTGGACCTGTGGATCGGTAACAGGACCTCTGGGTGGAAGAAGACCCCTTTGCCTTGGTTTCCCGTTTGACTGGATTTTTTCCCCTCCCGGGCTGTCCCCGGGCGATGCTGTGGAACTGCTCCCTGCGAAGCCAGGCAGGACTCCGGGGAAGTCTCCTCTCTGGCAGCAGCCTGTCTGCAGGACACACAGCTCCCCCGGCTTCCACCTTCCTGGGTCTGACCTCGGAGCATTCAGCCTCCTCTGCCCCTCTGTGCGCTTCCCCCAGCGAGTCCGCCCAGGCGGGGTCCTGGGGAAGCCAGAGGGTCCTGCCCCCCAACTCTGCAGTCAGACGTGACTCTCAGCCAGCCAGTAACACAGAAGGTTTATTAGACGACAGGAACATGGTCTAACACAGAGCTTGTAGGTGCAGAGAACAGGATCCCTCAGCTGGGTGCATTTTGGGGGGCAGTGAGCCAGACAACCCCATCTGCCCTTCACTCCATGTCCCCAGCCAGCCCCAAACTGAAACTCTCTCCAGCCCCTCCTCCTCTGGGCTTTGTCCCTTTCCCGGGCCAGGAGGTCACCTGATTCCTTTGTTCTCTAACCCTTTAGCTCTCACCTTGCAGGGGGGAAAGGTCAGACCATCAGTTGCCAGGAAACAGGGTGTTGGCCATTCTCTGTGTCCAGACCCCTGCACACACCTGCCCTCTAGGGCTCTGCAATGATCATACACCCTTACCCCACCCCCTAGATACTTAAGAACTGCATAGGGGAAACTGAGGCACCCCCACACTATTCAGAGGAAGCATTAAGAACAGTCCCACTTTGCCACACCAAGCCACACAGTTGAGCCTGGGGGGCACCCCAGAGGTCACTGCCTTGTGTTTTCTGGTGGTTCTTGGCCTGCTGGTCTCTGCCATGTGCTGCCCCCAGGCATGCTCCAGGGGCTTCCTTTGCCTTGTGACGATTAATTCAAACCCACCTCCTGGCTGCCAAGCAGGCCCTTCAACCTGGCAGAGACCTGGGGTGCCTGGAGAGCGTGACCCCCAGGAGCTGCATGGCTGGCTCATCGGTCACCAGCCTGGGGCCCAGTTCCACAGGCATTGCCCAGGGAAGTCAGTGTGTGGGAGAAGTCTGGGGCTGCACCTGGCAGCCCCTCCTGGGTCTGTGCTGGATTCTCCTGGGAGATTTGTGGCAGCCTGGATTCCTAGCCATAGCCGTGGGCCCCAACCCACCTGCAGACGGGAGAGCGGCTCTTCATATTGAAACCTCCTCCCCTATGAGCGCCCGTCCAGTGGCAACCCATGGGGTGGGGTCGGGGGGTAGGACCCAGCTCCCTAACTCCATTCCCTACAGAGAATCAGACCTGGCAGCCAGACCCCTGCCATTTGGGCCCACTGATCTACTGCCTTGGCGGAATACAAGGGTAGCTGCTCCTGCTGCACTTCTGGACTTGGGGGCCACCCAGCCCCATAGCACAGCTATCCACTCCCTGCACCAAGCCCCACTGCTCGAGTGGACTCCAGGCCCAGGGGTTCAGGCAAAGCAGGTGGTCTCCATTTAGACTGCCCAGCTGGGGATCTGGAGAGGACATGGGATGGACCCAGCCCGAGCTGGCTGCCAGATCCAGGGTGTTGCATGCCCCGGGGAGAAGCAGCAACCACATGTGCTCCCCATATGGATCATGGGACCAGGAGACTGCCTGGCTCCAGGGAGAGCCAACTTTGACTTCTCCCGCTCTAGATGCACAGCTGAAAGCGGTGCTGTGGCCATGTGGGTGGGGGGTGACAGGTCTCTTCCTCCTCCCTTGACTGCCCTGGAGCCCATTGAGGGGTGGGGCGCGGATTGTCAGCAGGATCAGTGCAATGCCGGGACACCTGTGTAGCCAGGCGCCGTGCTGACTGAGTGCCCTGAGGGGCTGTGGGCTTTGGAAATAACAGCCCTCCCTGAGAACCCAGGCCGGCTGCAAGAAGCGGAAGCAGAGCCAGGGTTTTGCGCCAATGGGGCCCTGCGCCAGCTCAGCCTTTCTGCCATGAGCTGAGATGTCCCAGTGCCCCAGCAATCCCCTGCTGTGAGTCCCTGCCTGGGAAGGGCTCAGGGGAGAGGCTGGGCCAAGCCCCTGGGCCAAGCAGAGGCAGGTTCCTGGGCAGGGCATGTGCCCAAGGCCACGGCGGTGTGAGGGGTTCCGGCTCTGGGACAACAGGGACAGTGCACAGGGAAGGCTGGGGGACTCCTCACAGAGCTTCAGCCCGGGCTCTCACCATCTGCCCTGACCCCTGCTGGCCTCCCCAGCACCCCTCCGCCCCTCCTGAGGAGGGGGTGCCCCTGAACAGCTGTGCCTGCGGGAGCAGGGAGGAGCTGGGGGCAGTGCTGTGAGGAGGGAATCTGAGGCAGTGGAGTGGAAGGGGGGAGACTTTCCTCCCATGTCCCTGCTCCATCTTGCCAGCAGCCGTTTTTGCTGCCCCAGCCTCCCACAGTGAGTGGGGTGGGTGGGTAGGAGCAAGGGGGCCTGGCACAGGGTCAGCAGCAGGGAGCAGACAGGTGCTGCTCTGGGGCTGCCAGGGCACCTGCCCCATGACCCACCGCCCATGCAGCATGGCGCCGGGCACAGCTCCCTCTGCCTTCCCCACCCAGGCCACGACTCCTAGACCCAGCAGCCCTCAGGGGACCAGGCAGGCCACGTCGCCCACATGCTACGGCTCTGTCCTCGGGCCTCGCCTCCTGGGTGCTGTCGCAGGGAAGCTCCCGGCGCCCCCATGCCGCAAGGCCCAGCCCCAGTGCCCCAACAATGACCCCCGTGCCAAGCCTGGGGAGCCTCTGCCCAGGGCTTGCAGCACCATGGGCCAGCCAGACCATCCCCCACACGGTGAAGCCATCCAAGGGCAGCGCACAGCCCAGTACGCTGGCATCACCCCTCCCCCCCCAAGGGACACCCCCTAAATAGCCCCCGACCCTGCCTCACCCAGCAGCCAGTTATCAGAGCCCCTACAAGCCCCCCTGCCCTGACACAGACAGAGCTCTGTCACTGCAACGTGCCCCCTCGCCAGCCACCGACCCACCACCCCTCGGCAACACAATGCCACACCCACTTCCTGCCTCTGCACGAACACAACCACCAACCTGCCTGCCCTCTGCACCCCCACCCATCCTGCCGCCCTCTCAATGCCCCACACAGCTCGGGGCGGCCCAAGGGCTCTCTCTATCTGCCACCCTGAGACCTCCTTATGTCGCTCAGCACGGCCGGAGAGCGCCCAGTGCTCAGCCAGGCGTGAACAATTCCCGGCTCACTAACCTCCCCCCCGCTGTGCCCAGCCAGGCGTGAACAATTCCCAGCTCACTAACCCCCCCCGCTGTGCCCAGCCAGGCGTGAACAATTCCCAGCTCACTAACCCCCCCAGCTGTGCCCAGCCAGGCGTGAACAATTCCCAGCTCACTAACCCCCCCAGCTGTGCCCATCCAGGCGTGAACAATTCCCAGCTCACTAACCACTGCCCCCCCAACTGTGCCCAGCCAGGTGTGAACAATTCCCAGCTCACTAACCCCCCCCGCTGTGCCCAGCCAGGCGTGAACAATTCCCAGCTCACTAACCCCCCCAGCTGTGCCCAGCCAGGCGTGAACAATTCCCAGCACACTAACCCCTGCCCCCCCTGCTGTGCCCAGCCAGGTGTGAACAATTCCCAGCTCACTAACCACTGCCCCCCCAGCTGTGCCCAGCCAGGCGTGAACATTTCCCACCTCACTAACCCCCCCCTCCCGCTGTGCCCAGCCAGGCGTGAACAATTCCCAGCTCACTAACCCCCCCCAGCTGTGCCCAGCCAGGCATGAAAAATTCCCAGCACACTAACCCCTGCCCCCCCCTGCTGTGCCCAGCCAGGTGTGAACAATTCCCGGCTCACAAAACCCCCACCAGTGCCCAGCCAAGTGTGAACAATTCCCGGCTCACTAACCCCCCCCCCCCCGGCAGTACCCAGCCAGGCGTTAACAATTCCCAGCTCACTAACCCGCCCCCCCTGCTGTGCCCAGCCAGGTGTGAACAATTCCCAGCTCACCTACCCCCCCAGCTGTTCCCAACCAGGCGTGAACAATTCCCAGCTCACTAACCCCCTCAGCTGTGCCCAGCCAGG